GTACGAACAAAAGTAAGAGAAATTTAGGATAAGAATACGAACATGTTCTTGCATGAGGCCCATTGTTCTCAACTAGATTCAAGCTTTATTCAAGTCATGATCTAATGTAAGCATTTATAAAATTAAGAATATTGAAAATAGACACGTCTACAAGAAATAAAACAATCCAACAATGAAAAATGACTATAGCAATTATCAGGAAGACCATACCTGCACAAAAAATTCCAGGGACCAAACTGCTTAAAATTACACTTCGCGCTTTATTATTCTTCTTGATATTCTCTATGGCTTCAAACATCTGCAAGAAAGAAAAATAAACAAGAAAAAAATTCCCAATAATTGCACTTTGAAGAACATTCTATTTCTACATTTTTTAAAGGTGATTTAATATTTCTTACAGATTTCAGGGTAATTTAAGGCTTTAAAATCAGAAATCATACAAACTCAAACAAAGAAAAGCTGATGTATGGTAAAACATTACTTTGTAAAATGATAGATGCAGAATTAGTCTCTTTGGTTGATTAATTATGCAACTATTACTAGTGGTGTCAAAAGCATTCCCATTCATTCCTCAGGCAGAAGTATAGAACTCTGTGGAGCTTTTAGGGGCTCTAATCTAGAAGGTTGATAACCTGTGGTTTCTGAGGCTGGTAACACTGATGAACTTACCCTGTACCACAGAGGTGACTCTTGGTCCTTCTTTCCTGATGAGAGCCAATTTCATCAGAACGTTTCAAGGTCTTTGCGACTGAACTTGAGGATACTTTCAAAGTTCTTGAAATTGTTTGAATTGACTGAAAGCAATGAAGTAATGATGACTCGTCTTTCGTTGTTTAGTTGAGTAGTTCTTGTCATGATATGAATTAGAACATTACTCAAAAACGGCTATTCATTGTGTACCAAATAACTTTTCACAGAACGGATGTTCTCAAACACTAAAAAGGCAAAATATTCAAGAAATTAACTCTTGACAAGGCTCACCTGTTAACCTAAAGCCATTCAAGGTGACTACATTATAAAACTGAGGAAATGCCAAAATGTGTTCAGTTGTCATCCCAGCAAAGGTTTAACACTTTTTTGTTACTAAATAATCCCAGGTGTATTTCTTCAAATTCTGGATGACTTTAGCATTATTCTACAATGCAGATAATTGTTAAATAATGGAAATTAGAAGTTGGTAGTATACATTAAAGATACACCTGATGTTTAGTGCCAAATGTCTGCAGGTAATGTTAGCATAGGGAATAGTTCATATGCCACAACAGCCTGTACAGTGAGAGAACAGGAATATTTTTTCTAAACTTCAACAAAACCCATCTTGATGTATTTTACAATCAGATGAAATGCTGGTAATGAATTTTACGGTTACTGAATGATACCCAAAAACGTAGATAAAATGAAAAATCTGGATCTCAGTTAGGACTACCAGAAGAAATCCAGCGTTCATTAACTTTAAAATATGCAGTAAATAAAAGAGGAATTAAAGCAATAAATGCTTTTGCCCAGTTAGTATTTTTCTATCATGCTTATCATAAAATAATAGAAAATAAAACTCAATACATACCAATTTCACAAGATTTTTGCTTATGGAATTTTTGGCTTTTGGTCGATTAATCCCAAGAACAACAATACCTGAAAGAGAAGTGATGTATTTTGATAAGTGACATTCAGTATAATGACAGAACATGAATATTAGCTTAGAAAAAAAATTCCTTATTTCTTGTTTAGAAATTATGGATTTTTGCCATTACTGATATTTGAGTCCATAAAGACACCATCTAGCAATAATGGTAACTGAAATCTCAGATAATCATCCTATTCTACCTTTAAATCAAAGTTTTCCAACAGGTGTGTCTTTAAAAATAATCATTTGTTTTATAGCCCTTATAATTTAGCACAAATTTTTTTATGTTTGGTAGATTAAAAATGCTTCTTGGCAATAAATCTTATATTGTTGGAAAGCTTGTTAATTACCCTTTTACATGGTGCCACATTTGTAAGGAACCAGCTGGGATGAGCAGTAGAGCTGAGTATGTGGGCTACACAAACAAAAAAAAAAAAAAAAAGCCAAATCTTCTCTGCCAAACAACTTATTTTGTTGCTATTGAGACTCGTTTTGAGCTTCTGGTCCCCCCAGGTGCTGCCAAAATTGTCAGTGCCTTTGAAAATTACATTTTCTTCTTGCTAGATGCAGTATAACTGGGGATCCCTTCATACAATGTTTGGTGTCATTGTGAATCCATCTCGGAGATCCCTTTTTTTTTAAACAGGGCTATAATTTTAGATGACATTATTCTAGACAAAAAAAAATCCAGTTTTCAAACATGCACTCTTGTAAATAAAATCAGCTTGTTGTAAACCATAAATCACCAGATTTCAAGAAACTAGCTGCTTTTTATTTGAAAATAAGTCAATATTTAAAATTTCCTTATTGTAAGTAATTCTGCCAGAAACACATCTGAATTTATAAGACGGGCCATCCCCCCCAGGCCCCCTCTTTCATACCACCCCTGTAAAAGACCAACACAATATTATCTTTTTACCTTTCATCATGGGTTAAATAAAGATTCCACAAATCATAAAATGTGTTTTCATAAATCTGTCTGTTGTCAATGATTTTATACCAAGTATGAGTATAATAAACTGCTTCACTGCCCTTCACCCTGTAAAAGTGGTCAGTCAGAAGCTAACACTGAATGCTAACAGAACCGCACAGGGTCACTGGCGGTGAGTGTCGGCGGAACCCACCGGCGTCTTCACCGTCCAGGTACCGGACTCTCAGCTCCTCCTTGAAGGAGTCGGAGCTATAGCGGCGTGTCGCTGCGACGCTCAGCCGAGAGCACAGAGAGACTTTATCTGGAAAAACATGTTGTCTCGAGCAGAGGTACGTCACCCTGCGTGCTCTGTCCACATCCACGGCGGGCACGCGACAGGCTCGCCAAAAGGCAAAGCGACCCACCACCACCGCCGCCATGATGGAGAGTCGAAGATTTGTCTTTCAACCCTGAACCAGAGTCACGTGATGTGGTCACGTGACAATCAGTTTGCACCAATGTATTGAATAGAAGCGTCACGCACGCACGTGACGCCATATTGGAAGGGGCGAGCTGTCAATGTATTCTGTTTATTATGGCTAGGTTTCTGCCTAGAATTGCATATAAATATTATTTTTTCATTGAAAAGCTTCTGTCTACTACAAACATCATTCATTGCAGATATGTAAACCTTGGCAACATGTTTTTGTCTAATATGATAATATGTAGTGTCTGGAATGCATTTCTATTTAAAAAAAAAATGATTTTCAATGACCATCTGAGTTTCACTGATGCGCTCACCTAAATTTAACATGTAATTTTTACTACTCAGATTTAACAGCTAAGAAATACTGCAGAGTTGTAAAGTAATTAAGCACAAATACTTCTTTACAGTACTTAAGTAGAATTTTTTGGTACTTGTACTTTACTTGAGTAATTATTTTTCAGCCTACTTTTTACTTCTACTTCTTACATTTTCATTCAATTATCTGTACTTTCCACTCACAACATTTTTTAAAAAAAGGCAAGAAGTGGAAAGTCGTTACTTTTATTTCATTTTTGCTTGTTTTCATTCCAGCTTCTTATTGTAAAAAATAAATACTATCTATATAAATTGTGCCGCGTAGATAGAGTGCATTTAATTGTGGCTAAATGAGAAGTATAAATATATAAAACTCTGATACCGTATTACTTTGTACACAATCATGTCACACTCCAGCAGGACATAATCATTAAAGTAAAGGACTGTACTTAAGAAGTATTTGTATTTTATGAACTATATTATTACATTTGGCCGCAGCCCTCAGATAGATTTTCATTTTGGGGAAAAGGTTTTGGCAGTCTTGATATATGTACAGTATACAAACTGAAACAGCTGGACTAGTTCATCCTAAATTTAATATTAATTAAAATACAACAGTCATTTCTGTATTTTTGGGGAGGTCACCTCCTAATAAATGTCATTACAGAAAATCTAACTGCTCATTTTAAATCAATACTTTTATTTTTAATACTTAAGTAGAAAACATATCAGATGCTTTAAGACTTTTACTCAAGTATTACTGTATTCCTAAAAAAGACTTTAACTTTTACCAAAGTAGTTTTTGGATAAAATACTTGTACTTTTACTCAAGTATCACTTTGTGGTACTTTATACAACACTGCAGTAGGCCCTACCTGTTGACTAGTCCTCGCCCCGAACAATACGGCCGCTCTCTCCAACCAAGAAAACCAAGCGATAGTGCCGTTTTTTTAATACGTCTCACTGGTTTGAACCTTTTGAAATGGGCCCAATCTGAAACTGCAGTGTCTCAGCACCAGCAACAACAACAACAACGAC